TTGTTTGTTTGTTTGTTTTTCCTATATTGATACATTCAAACAGTGTTTTTTGTTTGTTTGTTTGTTTGTTTGTTTTAGCTGAGCCATCCTGCTACCTGTTGGCAGCTCAGCGGCTGCTCAGCTCAGGCTGGACTCGAACCGCTGTTGCTCAGAGCTCAAACTCTTGAGCGAACTCTTAACCAACTGAGCCACTCGGCCGGCCCTTGATTGGTTGAATTCTTAAAGAAATGATGATAGCATTAATTTGCATCTGTGAGAGAGACTTGGCATCACTGTGCTGCACCCAGGAGACAGGGAAGAAGCTCACCATGAGAAGCAGTTACATCTGAGGATAACTGTGCTAAGCACTGGGGGGCCCATAGCCTTGAGGTAGATGGGGACTTTGCCTGTTTTCTTGCACTGTTGCAGAATATAGATTTGGAGTAAGTGATCCTAATGTGCTTACTTTGTCATTCCTAAATTAAGATTTTTTTTCCTTCATAAGCCAGACGTGAAGGTCTGAACACACTGAAGTCTCCCTGTATGTGGCATCCCGTCAAAAACACTGGCTTGCTGCTTATCACAGGTGTTCTATGAGGGGTGATTTGGGCAAAGGGAGCCTGGCCTTTCCGTAGTCACTGCAGTGAAGCCACTCAAGCTGAGGCGAGTTGGGGAAGTACTTAAAACATTTTTTTTAAAAAAAGACTTTATTGGGGAATTGGGGGAGGGAACAGCGTTGGGGAATCAGGGAAGGGAAATAGACAAGTTTCTGTCCTTTTGTTCTTCAGTCTAGTTGTGGAAGATGTTGCTTCACTTGCCCATGTTGGTATTGTGATCATTGCGGTCTTCCCGGCTGAGGCAGATGGGTTGCCGGCCATTGGATGGCCACTCACAGTGGCTTATGGCAGCTCATGTCAGCTGCTGGCTGCTCATGCTGGCTGCCAGTCACTAATGGTAGCTTATGGCAGCCCACTTCAGTCCCACTGCAGCCTACGCCATCGCCGGTGACTCACAGCAGCCCAGCTATAGATCGAGCTGTTGTTCACTATCTTAGCTGTAGAGGGCTCAGCATCACTGGCCCATGTGGGATCCGAACTGGTGGCCCTGCTGCTCAGAGCTCGTGCTCCCAAGCCAACTCTTAACCATTGAGTCACTTGGTTGGCCCCAGGGAAGCACTTTAATGGCTTAACATTCTAGTGCTGATTTTTCTGAACAGATGTATGCCTGTTTTCTTTACAATTTGGGGATTTGTTTCTTTACAGGACTTGGCTACAAATGAATTCATGATCCAAGGAAAAGGTTGAGGAAAGGACAACATTGGCTTTGTATGTGAAGATAGTTTTATGTCAGTGTTGGCTAAGTTAACATAAAATATTTTAAAAATTAATTACTTAAATAAAAAAATTTT